TAATAGCATTTGTAAGAATCTACCGGGCCTGAACAAAAACAACCAATCAGAGCCATGAAAAATAGTTGATTGCTAAGTCTCCCAGGGCATCAAATACAGACTCAAATAAAAACACTTAACAATCAACTATCTGCAACTCCAACTCAAAGCGTCTTTGTATCCCTTTCGGCTCTGATTAGTTGTTTTCATTCAGATTCGGATTCGGATTCTTACAAATGCTATTAGGAGCTTTAATTTTCCCCACATTAAGATATCATCACGAATCACAAGCGTCACACTATGACATATATGAGACCATAAACATTACACCAGTATTTCCTGGAAATTCTCTGCAAATGCAAAATGTATTCTCATTAAACCTGGAAAACAGCTGCAGGAACCTGGGACAAATAGCGTCTGTGTGCTTTTACGCCTCTTGTTTTTGCCTCCTACTGAAAGTAAGATGGCTTGTTTTATAACAAATTAGCTTAATAATATGGGACCTTGTTGATATTCTACCTTAGTGTTAGAGACTCCTAAACATACTTTCACTTCATCAAAATACCAAAACTAACTGACATGAAGTGAAACTACCCAGTGAGTTACTGTAATACTACTATAGTAAACTATACAGGTGGTTCAAGAAGTGGCCTACTCAGACATGCAGACCACCACCACTAAATTCCCTGACTTAGTGATGGTAGTGGTGGACAATTATACATCCAGCAACAATGCTTCCATGTCTCTAATCACTGCAACAACATGCCACAATGGTCACATTTGATTTTCACCACATGCAGTAATAACCTCTAGACAGTGATACAGACACAAATCAGTCAGATGTATTGAAGCTGGTTAAGGATGCTGGTAGTTTAATCATTTTAAACTGAGAAACCCGTTCCCACCTGTTACACCTCCATTTTGGCCCCAAGCTCACCTTTGCTGCAAAAAAATCATGGGCTCCATTGACCAGCAGTTCTGGATCATCTGAATGGAGACACATACAGCAGTCACTCAGTGCTAGTACTAGAAAAACAATGTACAGTGGATTCTTGCAAATGCCATCAAGAGCACTAGAAGGCGTCAGAAGAACCTGATTTTTCACAAACCTGATAATTTTACATTATCTGTATCGTATTCTACTGTTAGGATATAGTGAAAATTTCAGCAAATATGACAAAAATATATTTTGATAAAAGTTACCTATTGCTGCTTTAATAGAGACTGAATTATACGATTATGCCTATCGTCTGTCCATTCTATGCCTATTATCAGAGAGCAGTTTTCTTTTTTAATCAACCAATCACACCTTTTATAAGAATGAGTCATACCTAGCAAGGGGATCAAGCAAGGTAAAAGTTTATGTCCCTTCTTGCTCAGAGTTAGCACTGAGAAAGTTCCTTAAGCACAATCTTTTTGGCTACATTAGGTGCTCTCTGTTTGTGAATACGATTCCTGATCGATACAATTCTTTTTTTTCTTTCATTTTAATGAAACCTTAATTAGTGTCACATCTTACAGCTTTCAATACTGACTTTATGGATGTTATGGTATCATTTAGTTAATGAAATTTGATGAAAGGGTTTTTTATGGATGACTCACTGGATCTGTGTCTGTTTTATGAATCTTGTATGTTCCTTTAAATGTTTTTAATTTTATTTTTTTATTATTGTTTTTTCTTATTTGATAGCAATGCGGAACCCCAATTAAGTCTTGTTTTCTCTTCTCATGTTGTACTGTATGACAGACTGGAGTCTTCAGTTACTCACTGGTTTCTACTGCCTCCATGTGGTTGTGATGGCAAGAAAGAGGGATGTCCACACTGGAGCCCAGGAGGAGCTCACTCAACCTGTCCACTGTGTAAACACACACACACACACACACACACATAAAACAGTTACATTTAAGGTGGGGGATAAAAATGTGGGTTCAGTTAAATAGTGAAAAGTCACTGACCCCAAAATCAAAAATACATTGGCTCTGACTGGTTGCTTTTGTTAAGGCCAGGGGGATTCTTGCAAATGCCATTAGGAGCACTAGGGGGAGCCAGAGGAACCTGATTTTTTCCACAGATTATCTGTCTCATGTACTACTGCCAAAAAAATATACAAATCTCTGACTAAATGCACTTTACGAATTAAAATGCACTTTATAAATGTTTTTTTGCACTTTATTTTTCGCACTTTATAAATGTCTGGCATTTTATGAATGTTTTACAACTTAAAAAATGTTATGCACTTTATAGTTATGCACTTTACAATGATTTTATTGAAACAACCCCCTCTGTCTATGTAAACTATTATGTGTAAACTATAATAAAGTTGATTTAAAAAGTGAAAGCTTCAGCAAATATGACAAAATATATTTTAATAAGAAATATATACTGCAGCTTTAATACCATTAGCTCTCTTACTGGAAACAGGTGTAGTTATGTCCAGACTAACAAAGAAAGTATACTATTGTTCTGTCCAACTGCGGTTTGATGTACACACTATCCACCTGTGTTGCAAGCCAACAAATAACCATTTTTTATTTTTTTTTTAAATCTGTTTATTGGCATTTGAAAATAAACATATATACAAATCACAAATTCAGTAAATGTACACATTCAACCCCTCAGCCCCCTCTAAAGGAAAGGAAAATAGAACAGAGAAAATAGTGCGAAAAAGAAGAAGAAGAAAAAAAAAAGACAGCAATGGTTACCAGTCTTCACCTACATATGCAAAGATATCCTCTACTAGTCCCAGTTTGTCACATCAGTCATGTTATCAGAAATAGTCAGAAAAAGGCCATCCAGGACCTTGTAAAACTAATACCCATTAATTACTCTACAAGGGTGATTATAAAATCTTCCACTAATAAGTTTGAAAACAATAATAATCCCTGATCGCATTGACATGGATGGGGGTTTGGAGCTCTTCCAATTTACAGGCTATTTGGCGACGGGCTAGCGAAGGTAGTGAAAGCCACAAATTGTAGCACTGTTTTGATGGCCAGTCACATCCCCAGATCTCACACCAAATAAGGCTATTAAAGGATGTGGATCAGATAACCATACTAAAAAACCTCACTCAAGGAATTAAATATCGCAAAGCCAGAATGCGCGGAAGAG